GTGTCCCTTCCTGGAAAACATTCGTGTTATGACAAGAAAGGTCAGCTTAAGGGTTTTGGGTTACCCAAACTATGCAATTTTGACGCCGAAAAGTGCCAAAAAGTAATTACAGAATCTTCATCCGCAACACCTTGAACGTGCTGTGGGCGCGAACTGAGATCTTCTCTTACAGTTAATAATTGCCAGGCGGAACTCAGATCCGGCCTAGCCTAATTTGCATAAATTTTTTTGGTGAGCAAAGCTCATCATGCAACCACATTGCTGAACATCATCGACTAACGAACCACAATATTGACTGGGACTCTGCGCAATCCTAGCCTACACCACTGACTATTTTTAATGACTAACTCTGGAAAGCTGGTTTACTAACTTAGAACAGACTCCTAAACAGGTGTCAACTACTATACAAATGACTCATTCACGACAGAAACATTACAAACGAACCGAACAGAACGACCTATCCTTACCGAAGGATCGAAACAGAGCAATCACGACCGACTTACGCCACCTGAGTCTTACAGCCAATAACATCACGGCAAAACTGACCAATCATTTTACAAGAGCTGAAATAAGAACATTCTACTGACAAAAACTATTGACTTGACTCTGATAATGACTTCTTCACAGGTTGTCGAAACGTCAGTCACTACCACCGACAACAGTCCTTTTCAGGACTACACTTACCCGGACGATCAGACTACACCTTCACTTATCATCAATTAGTTAACTATAAACTAACTAATTACCAAATAACTATAAGCTCATTGATTATAGTTAATTAAACTATAATTATTAATTAGTTAATTATAAGCTCTGTGGTGTTTCTAGGACAGTAACTGGTATCAGACAGAGGTTGCAAAATGTAGCTCAAAGGCGGTTTCAAAGCTCGTGTAACTGTTATCGCATAGAAGTTGTTTGCCAGTGAATGCAAATTAGTTCATCCAGACATACCTTTACATGAAGGATTTGCCACTGGAATCCAATCTTTGTGCCGATTGCAAGTCTTGATTCTGGGCCCACTCAGCTGATATCCAGTCTTACAAGAGAACCAGCACTCGGATTTGTAATGTATGACAGCTGTTGCATCGCTACAGAATGCTGGGCTGACAATCAGTCCTTCTGATTGAATAGAAAATGGTGGACACGTGATAGCTACGAGAAAACGAAAGAAGTTTGTTAACAGATGTAGGTGATACGTTCTTTTCTTAGCTCGGATTTTCGTTTTAGTTCCTTCGGGGCTTAACATTTCTAACTGGTTTAGTGTGTTCTTTAAAGGTTCGATAACTATGGCCATATCATTGAATATTTACGATTCAAGGATTTTCTTGTTTAGAAGTTTGCTCAAATTATGGGAAACACTTTGTGGCCATATTTCTATTTCTGCGATAAGATCCTAAACAACGAACCAAATAAACTACTCATAGATGATTTGAGAAGAAAAGGGAACAACATCAATTATAGGGGCGCACAGACTATCATCGCAGTATACTAAATAGACTTCCGGAAATACACTTGGCGAGGTTGCGAAAACTTCGAAATTCAGCGGTTAGGCTTTTATAAAAAGTACCGACATGTTATCATATTACACCAGTTTTAAACATTTTGCATTGGTTACCGGTTAGATTTAGGATATGTTTTGATGTTATTTTATTTACATTTAAGGCAATTTATGGGATTGCTCCAAAATAGATACGTGAATTATGTTAATTAGCATTAGAGGTTAAAATTTGTCATAATCTTGGATCTACTAATTTAAAAGGTTTCCTTTTTACAGCCATCAGATCTCTTGACTAAAAATACACTAGGAGACCGTGCTTTTTGGGTGGCTACTCCGAAATTATGGAGCAGTCTGCGGCCCCAGGATTTACATAATGAGACATTTTTATACTCGCAAACCTGTGCTGAAGACCTATCTTTTAGACTTGCTTTTAATTAGATTTTATTTAATGTAATATTCATATGTGATTAGTTTACCATCTGTTTTAATAGGTTAGATATTTGAAGTTTTTCTCTACTTTTTTCTGGTCTTTGATAGATTGAAATGTTCTAGTGTTCTATATTACTGCCACGGGCGACTAATTCTAACAAGCACGATTTTAACACGGCGAAAGGAGACGACACAAAACAACACGGTTAAAACTGCAAATAAAACAGCAAACGAAAAACTGTTATAATACAAACTACACTAAATACCCAGGGAAAGCTACAAAGAAAACGACGATGAAAACTCCATAATACAAACTTACATTTGTTGCGATGTTGTGAATCCTGCCTAGTGTCGAACAAGCTGCACGAAGCGAAATAAACGAATATACAAACTACACTTGACAAAACAGCACTGGAAAAGAACTTCCCGAACTACGATGAACAATATGGTTTAAATACATGCCACGTTACGTAATGACGCAAAAAAAGCGCACGCAAAACTTTACTACAATTAGCACTACTGCACAAGAAACAATAGACAAAAAATAATGCTTAGCGATCTACATTCTATGTTATTCGCATTTGATCATATTAACATGTTAGAATTGCGCACTATAAGTATCAAACTATAATTAATATTATTATTATTACAACTATTATTATTATAATAATTATTATTATTATAGAACTCCCAGTTAGAACTCCCAGTTCGTTTAGACGGGCTTGGGCTAATCAATCCAGCCAGAACCGCATCACAAAAGTATGAGGTGTCTGTTAAGATCACAGGCCCTCTTGTGCGGCAAATTATCAAGTAAGCCCAAGAGCCACTGGATGAGAAGGAAATTAAGACCCTGCAAGCAAATGCACGAAGAGAAAAAGATGAATTGTTAAAGAGGCAGTGTGAGCAATTGAGGGAATCCTAGTCTAGCAAAACTGAACGCGCGGTAGAGCTAGCTGCGGAGAAAGGAGCCTCGAATTGGTTGACAGTGATCCCAATAAAGGAGATGAATTTTAATTTGAACAAAAGAGAATTCAGAGACGCAATTAAACTAAGGTATGATTGGGAGATCGCTGACCTACCTGCCATGTGCACATGTGGGGACTTTTTTACCGTTGATCATGCTATGGTCTGCCGGCATGGGGGGCTGATCATTCTT